ACTATAGAATTGTTTTTTTTACTGAACATATAATCCAAAAAAAGGACAAGCTATATCAAGGCTTAAACTATTGTCTATTTTTTGGTTATAGTTTAATAGGTTTATATCCTTAGATCTACTATTTATTTAAATTATATCATATTAAGAGTAGTGATTGATTAAGCATAACCAGAATTCTTAAGACAATTAAGATTTGATTTATAAATTAGTAGCTATCAATTTTACTAATGATTGGCCCTAATTAGTGCAAAATTAGTAATTAAAAAACAAGACTTCTGCTTACATTAAAATGTACATGTAAAGTCCATTAATTGCTGTTGGAAAATTATTGTTAACTATTTGAATCATTAGTCGCTTCATTTCTATTTGGGAGGCTTAATTCATAATTTGTTGTGTATTCTTCAAGAGTTTTCAAACGTTGTTGCATGTTTAAGTTTATCGCTTATATTATTAATTTTGGTAAAGTGCTGCCGAAATTTTTAAATAGTTTGAATAAACTAACCTAGCAATAAAGTTATTTAGAAAATTTATCAGGTCACCTAATTCTTATTTTACTATTATTTATTCTTAATTTATTTTTGTGTTCTCCTAAAGCTCCTACTACAATAATACAATTCCTTGTATTTGATTATCATCCAAAACAGCATAAATTTATGTTACTTTACATTTCTTGTAAAATTTTAATTAACTCTTAATTGTCTAATTAATTATGCTTTTTTAAGTTTTCTATTTTGCTTTCAATCTCTTTTTAAAATAAGGAGTCATTAATTTTAAAGTGCTCAATTTTTGAATCTTTACAAATCATACTGAATCAAATAACTGATATTTGATATTACTTAATCCTAAAATAGATGTTAATTTAAATTTACAAATCTTGACGGTTTTATTTCAAAATTCAAAAGTTTAAGAAGTTTTACTGTCCACTCTCTAAGAATTTAAAAACTGATTTATATTTTTTAAATAGTAAGATACGTTGCCACCTTGTCAACTCTGACTTTTTTTAATCTGGTCTTGATAATGATTAAATCTCCTTCTTTAAACTTTTTGTATTATATCATCTAAATTATTAAAATATAATGAAAATAAGATCATTGATTTTCTGTATAAATGAAGAAGTCAATTAGCTCACATTATTAAAATGATTATTTTTTTATTATTTTTGAAGATACATTAATTAAGTATTTTTCAAACAATAATTGGTAAACCAAAATAAGAGAGAATTGATTATCCAGAGAAAATGAATAAGAACATTTATCAAATTAAATTACTTATGAAAAATGCCAATGATAAGTTTTAAACATATTAGATTACATTCACAAAGCCAAGATTCAAAATTATTTCAAACTAATAAAATATATTATGTGGAATAGAAATTCATGGTTAAATTTAAATAATAAAACATAATTTATTAATTTTTTAATAAAAGCTTGTTAATTTAAGAAAATGTTTCTTTAAAAAC